CCACCGATGGCTCTCCTACAGGACTGCCTTCCCCCTCCTCTCCCAAAACAGACATCTTGGAGTTCATTGATCGAGGCTGCAATGAGTTTGTCAGTAGTCTATGCTTAGTAATTACATCTTACCAAGAACTGTTTATAAATCACCCTCAAACAGGTGATCTTGCAACTAAGAATATTCCCCAGATGGCGAATGGCAAACTTCATGCATTTGTGGATGATCTTACTGCTCGGTATTTCTCCCTAGTTGAAAGAAGGATACAAGAGGAAAGAGGAGTAGGGGATAACTCTCTGCTTGTGCGAGCTTTGGACCGTTTTCACCGCAGACTGCAAGCTGTTGCCAAACTACTTCCTGGTTCATCAGTACCAAACCAGGGCACTGAGATTGTGATCCGTGCTGCAAACGAGCGTGTGAAGCAGTACCTGTGTGCACTACAGAGCTTCTACATGGACAGTTTAACAGACGTGAGGCAGGCGTTGGCCACACCTCGTCTCTCTATGGGCGGAGCTTCAGTAGTGGGGGGGCCTGCGTCCAATAGGGACAACCCCAGCAGTTTGCCAGAGCTGCTGTCCTCCCTGTCGTCCTCCATTCTCAATCAGATCAAGTCTGTGCTGGCGTCTGTGCACCTTTTCACAGCCAAAGACATCACATTCTCTAATAAACCATATTTTAAGGTCAGTAGGTTTGCTCTTGTCACATACCATTCAGTACATTTCTTTGTTATATCAAATGATCTAACTACATATTTAGTTATTCAATATGAATGCTGATTGAATCCATTGTTAGGCATAATCAGTGTCTTAGGAGTTTTAAAAGTACTTTAAAGTGAACTGGCTGATTAAATAATAATAGGATTCAAATATAGACTTCCTGTGTAGTTTTTACCTTCTGTACAATTACGCTGATATCTTCCGCTTCCCTTGTCAAAGGGTGAATTCTGCAGTAAAGGTGTGCGCGAGAGCCTGGTGGTGAGCTTCATTAGGTTTGTGTGTCAGTCTTCGCGTCAGTTCTGTGAAAGTGCCGGAGACAAGGGCGGCTCCACCCCTCCCGCCCTGCTGCTGCTGCTGTCACGCCTCTGTCCTGGACTATGAGACCTCCACCATCTCATACATACTCACCCTGACTGATGAGCAGTTCCTGGTGCAGGCAAGTATTCAAAGTATGCCACGTATGTACTATGCTAAAAAGTTTGTCATATTGTCCAAGGCTGTAGATCAGCTGCCCCTGTAACTAGATTTGTAGCCATACCCACTTGAGGAACTGACCTAATCAGATCTCGAAAAGCTCAGTCTGGTCTTGTTTGTACTTAAGTGAAAGACCGCTGGGAATGCCAGGTGCCACTGTGGGGCAGCAGTGGCTTCCGTTTTGAACTTAGGCAAAATACTTCCCCCATGTTGCCCAGTATCAAAGTGTTGTGTGAGTGTTGGGGGTGGTCGGAGGTAGCAGATGGTGCAGATTTGCAGCCTTGTTTTGTCAGTCTGCCCCAAGGCAGCTGTGGCTGCTATAGTAGCTTGCATCTCCCGGTTGTGGAGTGAATGATTAATGCATTGTAAAGCATCCTTGAAACGCAAAAAAAAGAAAGCTATATTAACGAAATTAAAGTCGATTTATTTTAGCAAGTGCTACACTGGGATATTTTATCCATTGAACAATTTCCTTGACTACAATGTAATTGCTTTCCACCTAATACAGTATATCCCATCTTTTTCACTTTACCTGTGTCCACTGAAAATCAAGTACACTTCACTTACTTGGAGTTGTGTATTTTCACAGCACCACAGTCCTGTCACACCGGTCACTTCTTTATGTGCTGAGGCCAGGGAAGCCGCGCAGAAGCTTCTGAACCATTATGTGAAGGTTGGTTTTGACAGCAGAGTGTAGAAAACATTTTAAACTTGTGTCTCACTGTTGCTTTTTGTTCCCCAGGTTCAGGGGCTGATTATTTCTCAGATGCTCAGAAAGAGTGTGGAGACCAGAGACTGGGTGAACACTATTGAACCACGAAATGTCCGTGCTGTGATGAAGAGGGTTGTGGAGGACACTACTTCTATTGATGTTCAGGTATTTAGACATTTGCCATGGTGTTTGTAAATTGCCTTTTCTATTTACTCTTTTGTGATTTGAACCAGGTGGGTCTTTTGTATGAAGAGGGAGTAAGGAAAGCACACAGCAGTGACTCCAGCAAAAGGACTTTCTCGGTGTATAGCAGCTCCAGGCAGCAGGCCCGCTACGCTGCCAGTTACACGCCAAGGTACACACCTGCTAGCTAACGCACTGTTTGTGATGGCCCGGACCCTCATGTTTACAACAACTCAGCCTTCTGGTCTGACATGATAAAAATGATTAAAAGCTTTCTCTGCCCGCAGTGCTCCTATGGACACTAATCTGTTGAACAACATACACAAGCTGTTTTCTGAAAGGATTGACATTTTCAGCTCAGTGGAGTTCAACAAGGTGAGCACAGAGTATTACCCCATGATAAATCATCAGAGGTGATACACCACAGCCCCTCTGATAAGTGCCTCTCTCTCTCTCTCTCTCTCTCACTCTCAGGTGTCGGTCATGACAGGAATCATCAAAATCAGCCTCAAAACCTTCCTGGAGTGTGTGCGTTTACGCACGTTTGGTCGTTATGGACTGCAGCAGATCCAAGTGGACTGCCATTATCTGCAGATGTATCTATGGCGCTTTGTTTCAGATGAAAACCTTGTACACTTCCTGTTGGATGAGATTGTGGGGAGTTCTGCTCACCGCTGCCTCGACCCTGCCCCCATGGAGCAGAGTGTGATTGAAGTCATCTGTGAGAGAGGCTGAAGCTAATGCTAAAAAATACATTCTTATATAATTGTATGACTGTCTATGGTAAAAATGCTTAAAAAAATATTAATGCAAGACTGCTTCAATCTGCAAGTGATCAATTTTGTGAATCAGTGAAATAGAATTCAAATAATTGACCTCTTATGTATTTATTGTGCTCTTAATATACTGACTTGAAATTTGGAATCACTGTCAATGCTGGGTATTCTGTTTATAAGAGTATGCACTATACCTTATTTGCTTGTAACTTTTCATTTTCTGTGTCAATAAATCCCATATAAATGAGAAAAGATGAAGTCTATATTTAAAGCTATGCTAAAATATTTATTTCACTTTTATTTCTGTGTGAATATTAAACAGGTCACAAATGAAGTTACAAATGTAGATGTTGCCTGACATTTAATTATGCATCTTTTCAATAAACAACACACCCATGAATACTCCTTACTCCAAGGGTCTCCAACCATTTTCTTCTGGTCAGCTACCTTTACAAAAAGAAAATGCCAAACGGCTACTAAGTTTGGCAGTCACCATAAAATGAGCACAGAAAAGCCTTATATGAGGAAGAGTTAGATACCTATAAAGCATAACCGTTTATCCATTTATTAGGCATCAAAATGAGTCATTAAGCACAATATGTATAGTTCAGAAATCCTCCAGGGAGCTACTTGTGACGGGGTGGAAAGCTACAGGTTGGAGACCCCTGTCTTATTTTGTCCTTGGTTACAATGTATATTCTCCAGAAAAGATCAAGAAATCCACAACTGCCTGTCGCCATCTCACCACGGCGCCTGATTGGTCAGAATACCATATCCCCGCCCTCTTCTGATGACAGTGGAGTCCTGTGATTGGCTGATCAGAGTATTCCGTGCAGAGAAACGACATTAGGGGGCAGAGACTGTGGGGTTAGGGGGCGTGCCCATTACACCTACATGCAGGTCCGGTGAGTGCAGTTGAGGTGTTATAACTACACTGAGTACGTCTTTATTCATAACAACGGTAAGAAAAAAACACTGCAGCCACGAGTTCTATCTTAGTAGACTTTTCATAGTTTCTTAGACATAATCCAAACACTTTTTAACTGCGTGAAACACCGTACACAGTTATGTTTTGCAACTGCAATGTCACAAATTGCACTTTGCCCACAGATGTATGAACTTGAAAAAGCTCTGATGTTTTGTTTTTTTTTAATGTTAATTTTCTCCGATTTATTCACACAGAAAAAAGGTACGCTTGCTCTAATTTACAAATTATGATCAAATGTAAACTTAAGACCAAAGATCACAGATGTCAGGTATTATGGGGTCCTAAGCAACTATATTCAGTAGTCTGTCAGCCTAGTGATGTATTTATGTCATTTAATGATGTATTTATTTGTATCCAGTATTTCTTCATAGGTTCTCATCTCATCTTGAAACAGGAGATTAACCATGACACAAGGAGCCAAACGCACGCACACTACTGAGAGAGAATTTGGAGGGACTCTTGGTAATGTGTTCACTACAGTTTTTCAGTTTCAAGAAATATTAGTTATTTTTAACTGAATTTATGCCTTCTTATTATGTAGGATTTTTGTTTACTAAATATGATATATGCAAATGAGCCAATCTGTGTGGTTATTGTTTTGTGCATGACTATTTGAGTCCTGCTGTGTCCATTGAACTAAACATCGGCATAAATTATCTTCCCATCTGCTTAAAGTGAACTCATGTATCGAGCATGACAGTGCAACAGAAGCTCAGATAAAACTACTAATTACACTAAACGCTTTTCTTACATCACTACGGCTTTGGTTTGGAGATGCAAGATTTTGGAGGAAAAGCAAATTGCAATAAATTGTAGTAAAAACAGTAACATTTAAGAGAAGACTGACATATGAACTAATAAACTAATACAAGAGTTTCATGAATTTCACAGCATGTTTGTAGAGGTCTAAACTACAGGTGCAACAAGATCTTTCTATAAAAAGATTAGATGTTTTGTTCTTTGTTGAGGACATTCTGCTATCTCAATAATTTCAGCCATTGCGTCAACTCATATTTCAATTGTAATATATTGTGAAGCCCTACTTTGGTGTGTATGTTATTGTTTTATAATCATCATATTTTGGTGATTCTAGGTGCTATTTGTATCCCTATCTTCCTCCCATTGACGGTGCTGTTTCTTATCGGTGTGAGTCGGACACCTTCAGCCAGTCCTTTCCAGTGGCCTCCTCCCTTCCCTTCCTCTGACCTGCTCTGGCACCCTCTGGCCCCTGTGCTGCTGCTGGGATGGATAGGCCTGCATGCACTCCTCTACCTGCTGCCTCTGGGGAAGGTGATAATCTTTTGTATACATTTAATCATCATATTTATATAGGATATAGTTGTTGTTGTTGTTGTTGTTGTTGTTTTATCTCCATACTTCTTTAAGTCAAGAAATCATGCACAAATTATATTCGCATTCACAGTCATAGACAAACTCTGAAAGTAACTTAATGCTTTATGCCCATGGACACAATGGCAGCAAGCGACAGTGGGAGAAAAATGCACAGATTGCTCATTTTATAGTTACTCTTAAACATTTGTTTACATGAAGTGGATTATACTCTGTTTTTAACATAGACATAAATGAGCATAGCTAACCCGCTAGCTGCTGCGTTCCAAATAGGAAGTGTGCATGGGGGTGCTTCCGGTTCCATCAACTCACCCCTCTCTCTGTAACTGCTACAGTAAGCCTTATAATTTTGGTCATAAAATGTTCCTATTAACCCAATCTACATGATCCTGGTGTTTTTATTTTGCTATTTTGCCTGTAAATAAATTCCTATTGCTAATATGGAACTCGGCTCCAAATTCCCCCTCATAACTGCAGTTATCATGAGCTTCATTTGATCAAGACCCAAACACTATGAGTGACGTCACACTCTCATATACACTTCTAGACAGTCTATGTTTTTTAAGTGACCATCCCTGATTGTAAATGCCTCAACTCTTCTGATCTGCTTATTCTGCTTAGTGCTGCTGGAAATACCACGTACCACAGTGGGATAGCAGTTCAATTGGAAAGTGTTGCTGTGTCCTTAGGCAAGACACTTGCCACACACATTTATGAAAGTTGTGTGTAGACTAGTGTTGCAAGTTGTTGTATAGGGGATGATGGCACTGATTAGCAGCCATACATCCATCAGTCTGCCCGAGGGCAGCTGTGGCAACAATAGCAATTTATCACCAAGTTTGGAATGAATGAATAATGCAATGTAGAGCGCTGTGAGAGTCCTGAAAGGAGCTACATAAATTAGTTTATTTTTTTTGCAGATGTCAGAAGGACTAGAGCTGAAGAATAAGACACGCCTCAAGTATCCTATAAATGGTAATGTGCTTTAATCTCTTTAGTATAAAAGATTTAAAATTTAAATAAAAGTGATCCAAATGTGGTACACAGCTGTTATTTGTTGTTATTCGCTTGTTATATGTTGTTTCATATAAATACAGAAGTACTTTGTATAAATACAACTTCAAACATTGTGAGACTTTCAGTACTAATTACCCATAAATATTCTTATTACATCAATGTATATGTCCAACCAGGATATCAGACTATCTTATTATAGTGGCAATATTATGTGGCTAAACCTCTTTGTCAAAGCCTGATCTCGTCAGATCTCAGAAACTACGTAAGGCTGCCCACATTGCCTAGTAAGAAAGTGGAGTGTGTGTGTATGATGGTCAGAGGGTCTAATGGCGGAGATTGGCAGCCTTCCTTTTCTAAGTCTGCCTCATGGCAACTGTGGCGACAGTTGTAGCTTACTACCACCAAGTGTGGAGTGAGTGAATAATGCACTGTAAAGCGCTTTGGGTGTCATTAAAGGTGCTATATAAATGCAATGATTAATTAATTAATAATTAGTACATGATTCTGTGTAACCCCTCAGTGCCCAGGAGGTTATAGAAAATAAGGCTTCAGGATTTATTTAACTGAAACAACTTATTAGAGCTAGTAAGTTTTCCTTTTTTAATTCAGTCTAGTTCCCGCCCTTTTAAAAAGGTAAACCAGTCCCTAAAAGAACTGTGTCAGAACTGATGAAGCACCTTCCTTCTGGAACTCTAAAATTTAGTCCAGTTGACTGAATGATCTTATTTTACTTTACCAAACCACCAGGCCATAGTGGGGTTTCAGTCGCTCGGTGGTTATAGCTCTTTTCTATAACACAACACGCTTTCGCAATAACACAATTCATGATATTGTCAGACAACTAGCCAACAACTTTTTCAGTACTGGCACTGATATCTGATACCAGAATCTTTAGGGTGCATCCCTCATTGTGAGTAGCTCATAAAGCCTATGGTACTGTATGCCGCCAATGTATTAAGTTGAACCCGCTATAGTCCCACTGGTCATTCTCTCATCATGTTGTACAGTTGAGGACTTTTGGCACAGTAGTTTCTGCCACTCACCTTATCTGCCTCTACCAGCTAACTCAGTTTTGTTGTGGTCTCCAGGTTTCCACGCCATGTGCATCAGTGTGGGGCTGATTCTGCTGTTGCTAAAGCTCGGTGCTCCTCTGGGTCGCCTCTTTGAGTTGCTGCCCCCTCTGGCCGTGTGTGCTATTGTGCTGTCATTCTTGTTCTCCGTCTTCCTCTACGCACGTTCCTTTTCAGTCCCCTCTGACGCTCTGGCTCCAGGAGGTAACACAGGTGAGAGATGGACAATGTAATCCACAAACATACACCCACCTGCAGTTTCTTTGCTCGTGGGCAAATGGCAAAAGACTGCAGTGGTTGTGTCTTTTTGTTTTATAGGAGATTTTGAGAAGACTATGAATCAAATGAACACTTCTGTGGATAATAGTAACGACAAGAAACATAGTGTTTGAGAGTGTAACATTTTTCTGAGATATGTTATAATGTTTCCTCATCACAGACAGACCTGGAGTTGTGTTTTGTTTCATTCACACATGTATAACACACAAACCTGCATATTTAGTCAACTGTGTTTTAAACTCCATACATTTTCACTAGAATAATTTGTATGATTTCAGCCCCAGTCTCTACTACCGCTTCATGACACACAAGGTGGAATAGAGCATTTTGAGCTTTGGAGGTGTAGACAGATGCATAATGCAGGATTTCTCAAACGTGTAGATGAAACAAAACACAACTCCAGGACGATGTAACAACATTCTAACATGGTTTAAAGCTCACAAGAGACAATTTTCTGAAATATAGGACCTTTAAAATTGAGCAAGAGTGCAGGATAGTATGCAATGGTAGGATAGGCTATTTAAGTGACAGACTGTCGATTTGTTGACCTGGTTTATAGTTAATGAAACTACTGGGCCTATCAACAACAACAACAAAAACAAAAAACGGCCACTATAGCTTCAGGAAATGGTGCAGTTTTCAACCCGAAAGACTGCCATAGCCATAACATAAATATGACAAATTTCTGGAGACAGTCCCTTAAAAATGATGGCATGGTTCAAATTTTGTGGATGATAACTTTGGATATTGCATTTAAAAACAGTAAATCCGCCATAGAGTTATATAGGTCCCTGCCCTCCATCTGAAATTATAATCAAAGAATAATGGTTTGTCAGAGTAATTGGAGATTAACAGCTCTAAAGGCAGGTGTTAGTGCTGCGGCTCCAACACCTGGTCTCATTTGTGTTCCTAATGATTCTGTTTGCATCTGTTAGTCTCTTTGAATTTGTGATTCATGATAAAGATATCAGTAATAACGTGTAGTCCTCTTGTTTTTTTTAGTTTTAACATAATAGCTTATTTTCAACTGATCATTTTCAACGGATAAGTACTATACCACATTTATTTTATTTAATAATTAACATATCAGTATTTTCAATATAGCACAATCCAATCTATTTACTTCAAGTTGCATTGTGTAACTTTTCTGGTGGAGGGTCTATCAAATACTTTTCTCCATGGAGATGTTATTGCTTTGTCTGGAGTGTTTCACAGTATGGTATTAAACATTTCTATCTTCATTGAGACTAAACCCGACCAAGTTACAGGTCTGATCTGTGGAGAGCTGACCGTGCTCACAGTCAGAATGCCTTTTTTTTTGGCATTTTTGAACTATAAAACCACTTGTAATTGAATACATGTAAGGTAGAGCTGTTTAATGTCATATTGTGGAACATTCTGTCACAGCAATGACATATCCATAGAAACCAGCAGGTAATGGACCCTCAACCAAAAAGTTACATAGTGCACCTTTAAGGGTACACATCAGAATTTGGACTAAACTTGGACTAAATTTGGAACTAAATCTGGACTAGATCAAGACCAGACCAAGTTGACATTTGGACTATAACTGGGACCAAAAAGGACTAGTTTGAATGCACCCTTTATGGCCTTGATGTGATCTTGCTTTGATTTACTCTTATAACATTGTTTTAAATTTTAAGTTAATTTATAAATTTTATTTAAAACAACAGAAACATAATACAACAGAAAACATTAATTTCAGAGAGAAAAGATTCTCTGTGCCAGATTTAACTACAAGCTACTTTCCATCTGCAGTTCTTGGGCAGCTACAAAATACATTAAAGAAAGTATTTACTTTAGACCAACTCTACCAAATGTAACAATATGGTCATGTCTGGAATTTCATCTCTTCTTTTCATCAGGAAATCACTTGTACGATTTCTTCATTGGGCGGGAACTAAACCCTCGGATTCAAGATTTTGACCTAAAATATTTTTGCGAGCTGAGGCCAGGTCTTATTGGATGGGTGAGTATAATTCTTTATATTTTTTTTGTATAAGTGTCTTAAAGTATTCTGAAAGTACGGCATAGAATCTCCATGGAGACAAGCAGCAGATGTCACCAGGCCAGTTTACAGGTGAGATCTGTGAAAAGGTGACCTTTACTTACAGTAAGAACGTATATTTTTGACTAGTAAAAACACCCATAATTGAATAAATGCATATAAGTTTAATACCATTGTGGAACATTACTGGCAAAGCAATAGCCTCTCCATGGTAGAGGACCTGCAACCTGAAAAGCTACGCAGTCCACCTTTAATTACTGCTCAAAAGTATGTATTCTTACTGTGAGTGGGGTTGCCTCTTGCTAGATCTGACCAATAACTCTGCTAATCTGCTTGTCTTTATGTAGATAAATACGTTAAAAGCCTTACTGTGGAACATTGCAGCAAGGCATTTCTATGGAGATGAGCAACTCTCTATCATAAAAGTTACACAGTGCACGCCCTACAGAATGTCAAGGTGATTACTGCTATTAGTTCTACTGAGCCTGGCTTGTATACCTCAGCTCTATTCCGAGCTTGTCTGAATAATTTAACGTACACACTGTTTTCAATAATGAGCTCAGCTGGATATCCACAAATTTACCAACAGGAGGCAATGTTGCTCCACTCTCAATGATTCCTGTGGCCTGTGAGTTTGCACAGTAAGAGGCAGAACTTTCCCTCCCTAATGACTTGACACAGTAAATCAAATCACCCCCCTGTCTATTAGTCATCAGCCCAAATCAGACAAATCAGGAAGGCCCGGATAAATAGACCCATTTTTATCCAAACATGATTGACATTGTGCCACTTTAGTTGATCTGCGGAGGAAATGTTAATGCTGTATTTCCTTACTTTTTCCCTACTTTTTCTTTTGCGTATCCATCAGGCAGTAGTTGGTTTGCATATCTGAATGTTTTAAAGGCAGGTGCGTAGGAGAGAGGACAGAAAAAGACTCCATCGGCCTGGCTACAGACTGTGTGGGAGATTTCCTGTATTTTCCCTCAAAGTCATACGTGTGATGAAGCAAATACTCAAAATCCAAAATATTAAGGGTCTGTCGATAACAATGAAAGATAGAAAGGTAGCTGTTGTTGTGTCCTTAGGCAAGACACTTTACATTGCCTAGTATGAATGTGGTATGTGAGTGATTGGTGGTGGTTGGAGGGGCCCATTGGCAACCCCACTTAAGTCAATTTACCTCAGGTCAGTTGTGGCTATAATAGTAAATCACCACCACAGACTATGGACTGAATTAATAAATTCACAATTCTTTTATTTTCTCAGTTTGCTTGCAGGCATTGTGATATGTCTTATAGTGGATTGGATTGCAAGAAAAAGCAATTTGTCACTTCCAAAAGCATACAATATAATCTCCCATTTCTATTTTTTCCTTCTGGGATTACCTCACCTAATCGTGTACCATATACTGGGATATGCATTTTGATTAATTTTAGTTTCATGAAGAATTCCTTGACAAACTGCTTTCCTTAAAGAAAATATATTGTGCATTCTTTCTGTATTAAGTATTGAACTATAACATATGTTGATTATTTTACATGTAGTTCTCCGTAAACTCTAATATTGATTTAAAACAGACGAAAATTGCTTTAATTTCCTGTTGAAAACTGACATTTTACATGTTTGAGTAATCCTCTGAGTAAAAATAAACTCTGGGTAAAAACAAACTCTGGGTAAGTTTATTGTTAGTAGCTTATATTTGGCTGTATTTGAAAATAGGGCTGCAAATAACTGTTTTAATACTTGCCTAGTCAGGGGTTAATTATTCAATGAGCAGACTAATCAAAGATAGATACAGTACATTTTATCTAAAAAAAAGTTTAAATATGGTGACTGAAGGCTTCTAGGTAGAGAAAATATGAAATAAATAAATAAATAAAGTTTTCTATCTTCTTGTTCTTTGTTGACATTTTGATTTAATAATGTCACCAACAATACAATAAATGATCAAAATACAATAATGAGTAATTTTGTTAGTCGACTGGTCACAATTAGTCAATTAATCATTGCAGTTGTATTTCCTCTCCATAGTTGAAAACACTAACACTGTGCTTGTTATTTGATTTGCAGGTGGTGATTAATTTGGGTTTCCTAATGAAAGAGGCGGAGCTCCAAGGTTCCCCATCCCTCGCCATGATCCTTGTCAATGGTTTCCAGCTGTTGTATGTCGGAGATGCTTTGTGGAATGAGGTACACTCTAATTACAACCCCTGTGTCCTGTCAAACTGAATTTTGTTATTAATCACTAATAATGAGTAATTAACAGGAGGCGGTTCTCTCGACTATGGACATTGTTCACGATGGTTTCGGGTTCATGCTGGTGTTTGGAGACCTGGTTTGGGTGCCCTTTACTTATAGCTTACAGGCCGCTTTTCTAGTTGTCCACCCACAGTCACTCAGTTGGTTTGGAGCAGCTGTTATAATAGCACTTAATGGTAATATAATCCCTTTTGTCACTTTTGTTTATTTTTTTATTTTGGTCTTAATTTCTGTTTCTTCTTTCTCAACAGGGATTGGGTATTATATCTTTAGGAGCTCAAATTCACAGAAAAACCAGTTCAGAAGAGATCCAAACCATCCCAATGTTTCAAGTATGTTAAATTGTTGAAGTTAAAGCTGCACTATGTAACTTTTTAGATTGAGGGGTCTTCTATATATATATATATATATATATATATATATATATATATATATATATATATATATATATATATATATATATATATATATATATATATATATATATATATATATAATAGTAAATCTTGCATTTATTGTTTTATTGCTTAAAATACTTAAAAACATGCATTCTATTTGTAAGTGGACTGACTTGTCTCCATGTAGATAGATACATTCAGTGCAATACTATGGTAAATGGTCACATTTTTATATAGCGCTTTTCCAACTTCAAGGCACTCAAATCGCTTTTACAACAAGGAACCACTCCCTCATCAGACACACATTCATACGCCAATGTATGCAGACACTAGGCAAGGTGGGCTAAGTGTCTTGCCCAAGGACACAGTGACAGCATTCATGGGAGCTGGAATTACACCACCAACATGTGGGCCAGTGGATCTGACCACTCAACTAATTATGTTTATGTCGGGATTCGAACCACCAACCTTCATTACTATTACTGTTACTGCTACTATACTATGGATTGTATGGAACTTTCCAGACAAAACAATAACATCTCCATGGAGACAATCAGGTGGCGAACCCTCTTACAGAAAAGTTACATAGTGCACCTTTTAAAATAAGTGTTAATGTGTTTCATATGCATGGTTTCTTAATAATGCCAAGCTTTTGTTCTTTGTTAGAGCTGAAAACCATCCCGACAGCATCAGGGAAGAAACTGCTGGTGTCCGGATGGTGGGGTTTTGTTCGTCATCCCAATTACCTCGGAGACCTGCTCATGGCGCTGGCCTGGTCCCTGCCATGTGGTAAGGGCACACTGGGCATAAGCGCTGACAGATAACATGCTGCAAGCACATTTTACTGCTTCTCACACAGGGATGGGACAAGATCTAATGCCACAAGGTCTCACAAAAGAAAAATTGCTACAAGATATATGTATACTTGTGGAAAATGGTTTTGTGAGATTTTCTTCTATGTGTTTATGGACAAAAAAGATTATGTATCTTTTCTGGGGAAGGGTCCACTGATTGCCTTCATAGAGATATTGCTTAGCCTGGAATGTTCCACAGTATAGCATTAAGATGTTGGTTTGTAGTGTTACAAAATGAGCAAATAAACTACTACAACTACTACTACTAAGATAAGATAGTAGGGATGTAATGATATCCAAATCTCATTGTACGATATTTTCACGATATACATCTCATAGTGCGATACTTATTGCGATATTTTGTGGAGGCTACCAAAATTGTGAATAATGCTACTTTTCCTCTTAAAATGCCTTGACAAGACTTAATTCAAAGAACTAATTTAAAAGTGCTTAGAATTGCTATTTCTTCATGTAGTTTGCATCAAAACGGAGCAAAGGATCATGTCGTTCCCTCTGTTTTTTTAGCTATTGCTGCACCAAAACATTGAATGTAAGCAAAGAAACTTGTGATTCGATGTATTGTGATGGCCCTATAAAATAGATTAACCTTTATTTGTGACACAATGGGGAAATTACAATGTTGCAACACAAAGTTCAAGAACAGCAGGAGAAGTGGAGAAGCGAGTCTACTCAGAATGCATGTTTTTCAAGGTCTTTAAAGCAATAAAAACACCAGCAATGGAATAAATTTCAAGATATATACGTTTAACCCTCTCAGGCTCAAATTAATTTTTAGTATCAGGAAAAATCTGATATTTGGGGAAAATTATAATATGAGGTAGTAATATACAATTCTGACTTTTTTATCCTTTGTAAACAAAAAAAAAGTATTTTGCACTTCTGGCAGGCCGTTTGCGTGTAGCCATTCTTGCACAGTCTGCATTGCCCACGTTTATCTGCATGGATGGGAAAAAAGGCTCCTGAGTAAAAAAAGCTCATATAATATGGATGTGGAGTAAGTAGGTACTTGGAATTTAGCTGTTGCAAATCTGCAACGCCTGCCTGGAGAGGGTTAAAGCTGTACTTGGACATTCTAAGCAAGGCAATAACATGTCTATGGAGAACACAGCATCCCTTCTCCAGAAAAGTTACACCTCTTGAGAAGCCATAATTAAAAAAAAAAAAAGCAGTGCTACAATGACAGCAAAAATATAAAATTATTTATTTATTACAAAATATTTTGAAATCTTGTCTTGTCTTCTTGTATCTTCTTTTGCTGAACTTGTGTCTTGTCCCTATTATTACACAGAATCCATTAATAGCTTCAACTACAGCATCTGACAATTCAAAACAGTACTGACAAACACTAGTCACATCACAATACCACCTTTTGTACAAGATACTTCCCACGGATACATTTTGTTCCATATGGTAATTATATAACAGAGGTTTGATGGCCAGCCGAAACCATTGTGCTTCCTGTACTTATAGCATAATTACATGGTGTTAGCGATTGATGCTACAGCAATTAAGGCTGTGACAATCTGCTAGCTTTGTGTGCGTGTAAGCTGCCTTATGTTCTCCAAAAACAACTAAATTCCTCAAATGGCGGCTGTCAGACCTTTGTTCCCGCCGACACACGCTGCTCATTGATATTCCAGTGTACGTGACTCACTTTTGCTGCTGCTTTTGTAACTGAGATGGACTCAAAGTTATAATTGCTACTGACAAAAATGTATTCCCTGTTTCAAATGCTGTCACGATACATGTGCTGCCATCTACTTGGGTTTAGTATTGGGTGACCAGACTTCCCTATTTACCGTGGACAGTCCCAGTTTTGATTCCTGCATCCCCTGTCCCAGCAGATTTATCCAAAACCTCAGATTTTTCAAAGAGATGTCCCAGGTGTCTTTATTTTTGACCAATCTGATCCCCGCCAACAGTAAAGGTTGCAATATATTGTCATTTGTTTAGCTAAAATACAGAAAACTGTAATTGAAAATGACCATTAAAAATGCACCAACAGAAGTCCCTCAGATTATGACTTGAGAGTGGACAACTTTATGCGTTCTTCTCACATTTTTATTTATACCAACCATCTCCATGTGTCCCAGTTTTGAATTTTGAAAATCTGGTCACCCTAATTAGTACTGGTTTCTTTTACGGCTGTACTATACTGTAAAAGATCGCAAAATGTGATGTGGTTTTATGTACTGGGATAGTAGTGCAATATGTGAATATACTTTTTATACAATAATGTATAGTTAAACAACTGTAAATGCATTAATTTACTAGTCAAACTGACAAAACTGACTAATCAAGGCTAATTTAGGACTAGGGCTGGAAATCACAGGGTGCCTCAGGATTTGATTCAATTAAATGTGATAGTTGACTCAGGATACGATAATATCACCATATAGCGTATTGCATACAATTATCATTATATTGCACATGGTATTCTGCAATATCACTATTTTTAAGAACCAAATGTATTTTAGCAACAGTATTTGTTTGTTAAACCACTACCTGTGCAAAGTCAATATGGAGTAAACCAATTGTAACCACACAAAATAAATAAAAATCTGTAGCACTGTGAGACAATAATTTTATAGGAATGTACCAAAAAATACTAATGTCGATATATTGATACAGCAGCCCACCATAACAATACTGTATCACCAAAATTTGTATCAGAATATATCAATATTTTGATATTTTAGCACACCCCTATTTAGGACAATATGGAAAATAAGCCTTATTTTAATGTTTTCATTAAACTGTACACTTATACAAAGAGGCGACTCATTGTACACTTCTCTCAGCTGGAGAACCTTGGTGTCATTGCAGTGTATTAAGTTTGCTGTTCATTATTGCTGTCCATCCATCTTCTTCCTCTTATCTGGGGCTGGCTCACTGGGGCAGCAGTGTAAGCGCAGGGACCCCCAGACTTCCCTAGCCCCAGACTGATTATTGCATTATTACGATAATCGGTACTTATGCAAAATATCGTCTTTCTTTGTTTTCCAGGGTTTTCAAATCTCCTGCCATACTTCTACGTCATATACTTCACCGTCCTGTTGATCCACAGAGAGGCGCGTGATGAGAGACAGTGTAAGCTCAAATATGGGGCATCCTGGGACTCCTACTGCAAACAGGTCCCCTACAGAATATTCCCATATATTTACTAGATAATACATACAATTTTACAGAAGACATTATAAGCTAAACACTACAGTCTGTAGTTTCTCTGTCTAATGCTAATGTGTTTTTGTGTATTTTTCTAGTGTTGGTTTTACTCACTATTACTCACATTCAGTTTTTTAATTAAACTATAACATACATAGATGATTTTACATTATGTTTATTGTGTTTATTGTAAACCACAATAACTGTCTAAAATTGCTTAAAATATAGAATCAGGTCCAATAACTTCCTGTTCAAAACTGTAGAACTTCATAGTGGCATTTCACCGTTGTGTTTTTAAGAAATGCAAGCAAGGACAGAGCAGTGGGTGGGGATAGGGGGTAGGCGAAAACAGACTTTTTCTAAGCCCTCAAACCTCAAATTCAAGACAGTACAGTTGAGTGAAACATCCCTGAATCAACTAAAATACAACTTTGGGTGAGCTAATAATGAAGCTATAACATGGTTAAAAGTCTATCTTACATAATCCTCTTTACAATGAAGCCTTTTTATGTCCTGTCTTGTGCCCTTTTTGTGTTGCTGTCACCAAATTCATAACATTATTTTAGTATAGTAGATCTCAAATTTAACACATTTTATATTGTTTTAGATATTTTTATTCAAACTTGGCAACCCTTAAAATTATATATTTGGTACACAGTGGTCAGTTTTGGTGTTACTTTACATTTGCATTTCTATTCAACTTACTTTAAATCAATTTCTTTCAAGCTATAGAGACATGAGAATGGGAACAGAGCTGCTGACAGAGATGACAGCTAATAGCCATGTCAGCTTTTAATAACCTCTCCCACTGTGTTATTATCAGTCTGCTTAAATGGATTGTCTTCACCCAATGTTAAAAGCTTTAGTCCTTTGTGCATTTCTGCAGAACATTGACTTTTATTATAAGAATCTGTGAGTGTGGAGGAACTGAAATGCCAGCATAATACAAGAAAATGATTGCTCCACTGTTAAAATATTCAAAATCAATTATGGGTTGAAAATGTTATGAGTTTAGCCCGTGTGAATGCCTCATATGGCCTCTGCACATGTCTGGCTGATTTATTGTGGAGGTGGAAGCGGTAATGTGGACGCTGGTGTCTCTTCTTGTTGTTAATCGGGAGCTTTTTGTTCAGAGCTGCTTTTGAATAATCTGTCCTTCATTGGCATTTGTTTTTGCACGCCATTTTCTTCTCGCTTGGACCCATTTTCAAACAGATTATGCCGCCGTTGAGTTAACCACAGCAGTTTGTCCAAAAATTATGCACATCAAATTTGGCCTTTTCTAATACAAATCACCCTGCTATTACTGGACCCACACACACACGTACACACACATACAATACAATTCATTTTCCACCTTTAAACCTATTTGCAGTGGCTGTGGCTTCGCCTACACAGCACTCAGCCAAGCTATTTTCTGTTGTTTGTCATAATGTAAGTGCTAATTAGCGATATTCACATGGAGCAGGGGACGCGGGCAGGTGGGAAGGTGGGCTTTTCCGGAAAAATGAGTTGAATGAATCTCTGATTAATACTGGCTTTAATCAAATACAGCACATTAATTTTGATATGAATAATAATAGCACAATTATGCATTATGTAGACAGAGGTATTTAGGGCTATTGCCATAGCAATTAACAATTGAAAACAAAATATAAAATCTTTTGAATGGGAAAAAGTCCTCAAAATATTGGCATATATAACAGGAAGCTCTAAAATCCATGAATATCATTGCCTTCACTCGAGTGATTATTTAATTCATTTTTTTACCATCTGTTAACGCAAAGTTTGTAACACTCTTAATTTGAACATCCAGTGTCCCTGGTTTGAACTGTACAAGCTGTACAATGTGAATATGCGATATCAAAGGTAGGAGGAGTACAGTGGGTACTTGTTCACTTCTCAGTTATTAGCTAAGAAATTCTAGTTACATTAGATTAATGTTGCAGTTTGAATAAGTGATTTTAATTCACAATCTTCTCTATCTTAAAACCTATTCTTAAAACACCTTCATGGTACTAATGTGTCCACCATCTCATTGTCCTTGCCACCTTTAGAGCCCCAAGAATTACTCTCCCAAATAGGAAGAATTAGATATGGTCAAGGTTATTATTAGAAGGCAAAGAAGCTGTAGCTGCTGGTCCCCATTTATCACATGTCACTATTATATATGTATTCAGAGGTGGGTAGGAATTACATTTACTCAGTTACATTTACTTGAGTAACTTTTTGAAGATATTTTAACTTTTAGACCTACAGATTTGCTTTGTTTGTTTTTTTCTATTTGGATACCAAAGAATTGCATTTATTAAGGTTTCAGAATACTTTAACTCATAAATCAGATTTTAAATACATTTTACAACCAAAGAGTTTCTCCAATTATGTTTTATTCTTATGTAATTCAGTTGAAATACTAGCCTTAATAAAGCATGGACAAAGACTTAATTCAAAATGAATGTTTGTTAAGAATGCTTCATTAAAACTATTAAAAATGTAATTATTGTGGCGATACCTTTATTTGATTAACATTAACGTCTCTCTTACTTCATTGTTTTGCCTATAATTTACCCCCATCTGCATGTACTTGATTTGAAAATATAAAAGACCGTATTAATGGACCAGTCTCTTCCGATAAACCTGCTCCACTGGACTTCATTAATCAGAGACCTTCATTGTGAATCATTATGGGGAAAGCAGACGTCTCATTCAGCATTTGCAAAGGAGACTATAGGAATCTGTGCTTTCATAACAAATGACTTGATGTTCCCAGTAAAATGAATGCACATTTAAGTGATATTAATAATAAGAGAGACAGGCGCAGATGACAGTTTGTATTAGTCATGGTCTTGTCTCACAGTCCAGCTTTAACAATGCAAGAGCAGACTGCAGATAATGTCCTATTTCACCCATTTGAGGTGTTAAGCAGGGAACAATTTGCAAATCACAAAGGTTTCTCAGCCATCATTAATCTGCTCGTCTTTTACTGACCATTGACTTTTTTATTGTTTGATTTTCTGTTGGTTAAAACAATTTTGTGAAGCCCTATTCCTGTTGTGATTTTAGGTTATACAAAAATAAACTGTATTGATTTTTTTTTAGGTCTCTTCTTCCTCCAAGCCTGCCTTTCGTCAAATGTTATCCATGTTTGGGATGACAGATTTTAAATACAGACTTAATGAAAACAGGATTAGCTGATTGTAATACATTATTGTACACATTTATTTGCAAATTAATAATTGCCATAATCACAAGGATTGGGCCCTAAACATGCCATGACCAAGAGTCATCTAATCCCCTAAATGGAATAATTAATAAAACATTTTAGTGTCATTATATTAGCATTAAGATTACCAAAATTATACCCACCATGATATTCAGTATCTGTGGGTGTCAGAATTATGAAAAATTTGAACTGTTTCCATAGCAATAAAGAATTTAAACCAAGCTATTATTTATTTTGAAATGTGGAAAAGCCTCAAAATATCCCATAACAGGAAGCTGAAACTCTGAAAATCTAAATTATATCTGAACATAATGTGTAAGACGAGCACTGTTTGACTTACTTAATATCATCAACATAAAGCTTTTGTCAGATAAATAAATAAAAGAAATAAAATGTGGCAAGTAAGAGTACAATAGGAAGTTGCACTTGAATAGGTTATGAATAGGTTTCGATCTTTGCCATATATTCTTATTGTCACGCCACGTTCACAGTGCACCCAATCACTGCTTAGCTCCCATTTGAATTATCCCATGTAAGGGCTTATTAGCTGCTCTTAAATGTGTCTCATATGTATGCATGTCTGTACAGATCCTATCATTAGCCACATCCACCAGAGCCTTGCATAATAATGAATGAGCAAAATTATCCCTGTCCTTGAGAGTGTAACCAGCGAAGTGTGTTTGTGCATGTGCCTGCCAGTTGTGTGTGCGTGTGTGTGCGTGTACGTGTGTGTGTGTGTGTATGCATGTGTGTATGCCAACAGACGCGTGGAGAGCATGTAGACAGTTGTGGACTGTTTCCATGGTTACATATTTCTCTAACAGCAATGATAGAGAGAGAGAGAGAGAGAGAGTGAGAGGAAGAAAGAAGTTTAGACAATTACACAGGAAAAAAGAGAAAATTCAGGTATGCAGCATTGAGTTAATGAGATTCCAGATATCTGAATACTGAGATATGGATAAATATTAAATAGACTTATATTAAATACAGTTTGTAAAGGACAACACAACATGAGACCAGGGGTATAAAATCTTACACTGCAGTTGCCTTTTGTTTTGGAAATTGGTAATCTGTGACTTTCAATAAATGGGAGGAGCACTTATTAGTTCTACACTGTGTATCCACAGTAAGTAAGTAAGTAAGTAAGTCTTTATTTATATAGAGCTTTTCACAGACATTTTTGTTACAAAGACGCTTTACAGAGCATTATTCAGCATTATTCATTCACTCTAAACCTGGTGATGGTAAGCTACTATTGTAGCCACAGCTGCCCTGGGGCATACTGAGAGAAGCGCGGCTGCCATGTCAGTCGGCGCCATCGGTCCCTCCAACCACCACCATCACTCACACACACACCACTTTAATACTAGGCAATGTGGGTGAAGTGCTTTGCCTAAGGACACACAATGATTGAATTGACTGTATTTAACTGACCTTGACTATCAACTGTTTATAGAGACCTATACAGCAAACATTAAAATGTATACGCATTTACAGTATTGTATTCAGTATACTGTATACTTTCACATTGAGTTAGATGAGGAAAAATGGAACATGTACGCACCACAAGAGCAGTGCTTTTTTTATGGTTTTCCTCCCTTACAATCAGGTAATTTATCATCTTTTAGAAAATGAACTACATTCGTAATACCATGAAATAGAGTATAAAATAAAGAGTAACTACTGGAATATAGTTTCTCAACATAACAAACCGTATGTGCTTTTGTTACTTTTCGGTAGCTTATATTAAAACACCAATGCTTTTGCAGTTGCAGTACAATTTGTAGCAACTGTAAACAATCAAAACTATGAAACATTGATCGAATGAGCCTCTTCCTCAGAACTGTCCTTCATCTCGTCTCACACAAAAGGCCCATACAATGTTGTGACAGCATCACATGAATGAGCAGTTACAGTATCTGTTTACACTATGTTACATACATTTGTTCACTCTTCTCTTGCATGCATGTTGATAATAAGATGACAAAAGCACTTCATAACCTCAGGAAGAATAATTGCTGTTTTTTCAGTAGGTAATGGGAATCTAAATAGAAACAAACAAACTTGTACATGTAACTGGCTTTAAAAAGGGACCAAACATGTATAAAATAGACAGGAACATTAGTAACAAAACTGAACTGACAACTATAACATCAATTTACAGTGGAGAAATCATAAGTATACTTCATTAAGTAAACTTGACATCTAAAATGGGATTTGATTGACATGTGATGATGTTCATTTTATTAATTAACACAGCAGAGCTGGATAAAAGACCTATTTTCTGATGTCTGCTATGTTGTTTCGTCATCAAAAACATACCCTGAGTTGTGTTTTTGTTTCACTGACACACGTTTAATTATGCTCTTTTCTCAAGCAGGAAACACTCTGTTTTTAACACTGTGTTTTTAAACTCCATACACCCTCACTTGAATCATTTGGCTAATTTCAGCCCTGGAATTGCCCAGACACAAGGTAGAAGCTGTTAACTCGAAAACTACCACTACATGACATCACAAAACATGTGTGCGTGAAACAAAACACAACTCCAGGTATGTTTTTGAGACGGTAACAGCATTATAGCATGGCTTAAAGCTCACAGGAGTCAATTTTGTGTAATATAGGACCTTTAATTCATAATGTAGAAATAGTTTAAGAATGATTCAGGGTTAGAAATTACTTAATTATTATATTATCTAAACTCGTAACCCCTTCATTAAGAATCTTCTAATCCTGAATCATTTTAATAAACTATTTGCTCATAATGAATTCTTCATTTTCTTTCTCCATGTTCTATAAGGTTGTAAATAGTGTAGTTATTCTTAAGTGGTACTGATAAGTCCAAGTGTGTCGAAATGTACTGAACTGGATGAACGCTCCTCGGAATGAGTCAACAGGATTCTAACACAATTCTGTTTCCATGGTGACAGCGGGAGAATGATACGTCCTTTTGAGAGTACGAGTGGAGGGGGAGACTGTTGCCAGCTTGAAGCCAGTCTATGCTTGTTGCTCTGTTTTCTGCCCAGATCATTACATAGACAAAGTGATAACCTGCCAGTACCTTACAAATGTCACACATGAGTCCCAGTGGAGTGGTACGCAACCATTTTACCTTCAAAGAAATGAAGAAGGATTGCATTTTATAATAACTACACTACTTATTTAGCTTTAAAGGTATGTTGTGTAACTTTTCTGGTGGAGGGTTTGTCACTGCTCTGCCTGGAATGTTCCACAGTATGACATTAAACAGCTCTACCTTACATAGGTGGTTTTATATCTCAAAAATATCTAGAGAAACAGGCATTCTGATTGTGAGCGGGACTGCCTCTCCATAGATCTGAAAAGTAGAAAGGTTTAATGCCATACTGTGAAACATTCCAGTGTTTCCATGGATATTTTTGTCAGAAAAGTTACACAATTCACCTTTAATAAAGCACAAAGAAAGGCTAATTCATAATTTACAAATAGTTTAGTAAGAATGATTCTGGTGTAGTAACTTATTGTACGCAGTGTATAACCTACTTCAGTGTTTCCCAAACTCTTTTTCTGGGGACCCATATTTTAAAAGTCACAAAACGTCATGACCCAAGTCAATAGACATTATTCATAAATCACAAAGTAAAGGTGGATTTGACCTTTATTGAATCTTAATTAAGATATTTTATTGTTGACTGACTGATTGTGTCTCTTTGAACAATTAGTATTTTTCACCATTCAATTGAACCAGCAATATTGGAATAAAATAGTAAAAAAGTAAAAAAAATTACAAAATTAGAAATTTAACAAAACACGTCTTAACATTTCAACATTTGTAATGAGTCCAAGGTGCAGGAGGAGAGTGCAACACGCAGATCAGTGTCAGAACTGTATATTGCAGACAGACATGCAGATTGTGATAAGGTGACCCCCCAAAAAATCTCTTGCGACCCACCTGAGGGTCACGACCCAGTCTTTGGGAAACAATGCCCTATTGTACTCTATTGAACCCTGTGTATTAGTGTTACCTGTTTGTCGTAGTTGTTGGACATTGCTATTGAAGTAATATCCTGTAAAGATGCACTATGTAACTTTTCTGGTGGAAAAGTTACATGGTACATGTGAGTACTTGTCTCTATGGTGATTGCTTTGACTGGAATGTATGACACTGGGATTCAACATATCTATAAACATGGAGACAAGTATGTGACGGTGCCTAACCAAGTTACAAGTCAGATCTGTGGAGAGGTGACCTGGTCAGTGACAATGTACGCTTTTTAAGGATTTTATTTTAGCAATAAAACACCAAACTGAATAAATGCCATATAGATATGTTTAATGCTATTCTGTGAAACACCCAAGGCAAAGTAATATCATCATCACGGAGACAAGTAGAGGACCTTCCATCTGAAAACTTAAGTAGTACAAGGTTAGAAAATTAATTAAGTTGTCACAAAGCCTGATTCATTCTTAATAAACTATTTCATCATTAAAAAGTAAGTCTTCATGTCTTATCAAGGTTAACTTTGTTTAATTATGATAAAGTGTAACCTCACAATCTTAAAATTAGTAACGTTTCTATTGGTGATTTTTCTCAGCTTCGAGTGAGCTTCTGCCAACTGGAGTTTTGTTAAGCAGTGTAATGTGCATCAGTGCTGTAATTTCAGAAGATAATTTGCAGAAGGTAGCTATAGATTATTATCTTCTATCGTCAATGGGTAATTTTGCTCTTTTTGTGCCTGGTGCAGCCACTTCTGAATGCAGCTGCCTTTCAGAGCCATTTTAGCTGGTGGCAAATTGTCCCCCTCTCCATTCGGGTTCCCAGTTATTTGAACTTGGCCAGGAATTACAGGCAAATGTACCAAATGCACCAATAACTGATCTATTACCAGTATTAGGAAGAATACTTATTTACTGAAAACGTATTTAGTTATAAAATACTGAATACACAAATTAGCACAAATTACATGGTCCAATCAAAATGCTGTGAATACTTTTAAACCGAGTTGGATTTACATTATAGTGTAAAATCATCATATATAATTACAAATAGCTTGTTTTTTGTTTTGCATTAAAGGTACACTATGTAAAAATTTTGACTGGGGGTCCACCTGCTTGTTTTTATGTATATGTCATTGCTCTGCTTGGAATGTTCCACAATATGACATTAAACAGCTTTTACGGCTTTTTATAGCTCAAAAATACCTTGAAAAACTGGCATACTGGCTGTGAGTGGGGTCGCCTCTCCACTGATCTGGCTTGTAACTTGGTCTGGTTTGGTCTCCATGAATATAGAAAGGTTTAATGCTATACTGTGAAACATTTCAGACAAAGCAATAAAAAATATTTGGGGCACCTTCCACCAGGAAAGTTACAGAATGCACCTTTAACTTAACTAATTAGAGAAGGTAAAATCATAAACACACATACATTACAAGAGCTCTGTTTGCTTTTTTCTCACTCATAGTCAAGCCAAAATTGCCTGTTCAATTATCTCTATCCTTTTATTTTAGAAAACTAACTATATTAATACCACCAAATGAAAAAGTAACTCAAAATTAGTATTCAGAATATGCATTTTCGGTACATGTATTTAGCTACTTTCCAACACTGCCCATTACAAACAGGGAAAAAGAATCTCTCTCGTGGTGATTTTTGCCATTCGATTTTATTAGAATACTTTATTAACTGTACACCTGTAGGCTGTTAAATATAAATGAACACATATTGATTGACTTGTACAGTAATGGTAAATGTATAAAAGACAATAAATACAATCGTCTAAAACTCTTATGTTATGACATTCAAATAAGTTCCCCTCATGTGCTTTAATTGTGATTGTCCACACTCAGTTAGTTTTGAGGTCTCAGTGTCCTTTGAGCTTAGCAATATTGGCACAAAATATACATAAAAGAATTGTTACTCAGTTGAAGTTGGCTTTGTTAAGCGAGAATGACAGTTAGCTAAGAGTTCATTAGCATTAACTGACATAAAGGCATATTAACGAAGGGAGGGTTGTTTCAAAGCTTTCTCACAGCTTTCCTAATTGGGTACAGTTAATTTTCTGTGGAGTGCCAGATGTTTCTGTCAAAAATGATGTGAGACTTTAAGCAGTTATATAAAGGCAGCTTGATGATAATGTCTTAAAAGTAGTATCATAACACAGTATTTGATATGTGGTTATTAATATATATTTTAACATATTTTTAACAATAACTTCAGGATATTGAGTTGGCAGTGACAGATCTATCTAAAAATACATCAGACTATTACACTTTTTGCAGTTTCAAAAAGTTATTGGAAAGGCAGTACTGTTTTTACAACATATCTCGATGTACAAAAGTGGGCCAAATGGTCCCAGAAATAACAAGGCCAACATCAGTGCTATCCAAAACTGAACTTGCAGACTATTCTGATGAGTACTTCTATGGGCATCATATTGCTACACTATACTTCTAAGCATTTAAAAAAAGAAAGATCAATGCAAATTAAAAATAACTCTTATTTAGTTCCGTTTAAATGCTGCTGCTTAGGACCAAAATTGTAATCCTGGCCTTTTGTTATAACTATATGTTGATTATTACTGACACTGCATTTCAATCCTCTGTCCACTTATATTACTTTAACTTCCAATGGTAAAAAACATATATGATTTCATACAAATGCTGAGAATGGCTTTGAAAGGTTCAGGACACTATTGCGGTCATGTTTGTTGAAATAAGAGATAAAGGTGTACTGTGTGACTTTCCTGGTGGAGGGTCTGCCACCTTCTTGTCTCCATGAAGATGTTATTTATGCTTGAAATGTTCCACAGTAAAGCATTAAACTTATTTATCTCCATAGAGACAAGCAGATGTCACCACTAGGCCAAGTTACATGGCCTGAGTGAGAGCATGACCACACTCACAAAATAAATGTATGTTTTTCAGTAAAAAACATAAATATGCTGTAAATATTTAGAAATCATGTGTCACTGATAATATGACACAATACAGTATAAAAATGTGTTTAATGCCATACTGTGGAACAATCCAGGCAAAGCAATAATATCTCCACGGAGACAAGCAGGTGACTGACCTTCACCAGAAAAACTGCATAGTGCACCTTTAACAACCATAACAGTAACACAGATACCACAGACTTAAAAACACTGCATCGATATGTCTCATGAGGATTAACATTGCTAGTTTCAATTGCTTATTGTACATAATAACTGTATATTGAACCTCAAACTCTACCAAGAAGAAATACTATGCTAAAATGACTATAGCATAAATGCAAATGAGATAACTTCACTGGAGAGAAGAATAAGGCGATCCCTGTACACTAGAGATAAAACAGCAATTAGTAGCTCTGAAAGAAAAAAAAAAAAACATTCCACCAAATTCAAAGTAGCATAATTATATTAAGTCTTAAATAAGCTTTGATTTGGCACAAAGAAGAAAAAATGTTCCAAGATCTTTGGACAAGTCTACTCGTGTAGGGTGAAGTCTACAATTAAGTTTCCATTTGAGTGATCTCTCATAGCATAAAATAAGGGAGATATAATGGCCACTTTAAGATCAGACATAACATTATAACCCGCATGCAGTCTTCTGTGTAGGCCTGCAAACTAATGGTTATTATAGTAGTTAGAATATTTTTTTGATTAGTTGAATGATTGGTCAACTAATTAAATATTTTTTATTAAAGGTTCAAATATGGTGACTGAAAACTTCTAGATGACATAATAGAATATAAGAATATTTGCGAATAAAGTGTAATATTGACAAAAATGAGAATAGTTATTAGTTACTTAAGTGTAATGTTATATTTTTGTCATCAAACGTCTTTTGCCATGTGTCCTAGAGTCTGTGTAGTCCAGATAACGATTATGATTATCACAATATGATTACGATTGTTTATTGTTATTATTAGAGAGAGATACTTTATTGATCCCAAGGGAAATTCAAGCTTTGTTGCAACAACATTTACACTGCACTTCTCAGTGGCCTTTGTGTCTCAGTCAAAGGTCTCAGTGCAGTTTAACAGAAGGACTGATCAAGTACAGTTAGCAGATCCTGCTTTATTAATTCATCCATGTATTCATCAATAATATTCTGATTATTTAGTGCAGCCCTACAATGGGCGTTGTAATATCTTTATATTATCCCATGTTTTCCTGCTTTCAGAACAAAATGGTCTCTTGCTGTTTCTTTCACAGGTGTAGTTCCTGGATGATTGTAACATTATAGTTATTTTTTGTGGTTATAATATTATTCTGAGCCATATTTTGTGTTCTTTCCTGAATTTGCCCAAAGACTTTGAGATTTCTTTATACATTTAAAGACCCTAACACACAGCCTAAGTATTGTTTTTATTGATAGAGGCAACTGTCAGTGGTAAACATGTACAAAGTCACAGAATACAGAGTATATTGTAGTTGTCAGCTCCTATGTGTTGGAGATTCACAGTGAATTAAGCGAGTGGGTTGATAAGAGCAGCATGGCAAATCTCCAGCCCTTCAAAAGTATTGTAAATTAACATTATGGATCAAAGGCAACACAAATAGTCCTTGTATGTCTTTTTGAAGCCATCTGAACTGGGTTGAGACTTGTCAACGCCAATGTCTAGGATAAAGTGGTATAGCTGAGGCGTCAACATCACATTTTCATTGTCCGCAGGGAATTCCAGACCAATAGATGGGAATAATACACTGAAAAATACAGCATTTTGGCTCCATTCATTCTTCGGTCTTACAAAATGTACCGTGTTTCTCCAGATTGGTGGTTTATTAGAAGCTCACCAAAGCGTAGACCATACTTTTGAGGCCAAGATACAAAAAACAAGAACAGAGAGAAAGAGAGACAAGTGTAATGTGTTTGAATATCTGTGTTTTAGCAACTTCACAAGTACTTTTGCAAATGTGCAGCAGTGTGATTTTGAACTAGAACAGTCACTGCTAATAGTTATAAAGCAGCCTCACCTGTAGAGATAGTAGAAGAAGGACACCAGGTAGAAGCCCATCTTACACCAGGACTCTTTCTGACAGTAGTTCAGGATGTCTGCGTTCATCACACTGACAGGGTCATACATGACCTCTGACCCGTCCGCCGGCCGGTGGAAAAACCTACAAATGAAAAGGTTAAGGTAAGGTTAAATTGAGTTAATACAGGTTAAAGATCCTATATTACACAAAATTGTCTCTTGTGAGCTCTAAGACATGTTATAATGTTATTGCCTCCTTAAAAATATACCTGCGTTGTGTTTTGTTCTATTCACACATGTTTCAGTCACCCTTTATTTTTAGTCTGTATACATCTCCTAAACTCAAAATGATCTGTTTCACCTTGTGGATGTAGTGGCAGTTTTCAAGTTTAAAAACACAGTGAAGCACTTCCTGTATCGCAACATGACATCACAAGGTGGAACAAAGTGTTTTCTGTTTGAGAGAAGAACTCAAATGTTAATCTAAATGCAGGATTTGTGTGTTAAACATGTGTGAATGAAACAAAACACAACTCCAGGTATGTTTTTGATGAGAAAACATCATTATAACAGATTAGGAAAGAGTGTAATATGGGCCCTTTAAGTTAAGGTTAGTTTAAGTTGAGTAAAGATAAGGTTAAGGTGAGGTGAGGTACAGTACCTTTACTGGGATGTGTGTGTGAGAGGTTGCACTTCTGCTCTGGGGCAGCACTTACCTCCACAGATGGTAGAAGAGCAGAGGGATATTTAGGCCGAGTGTGACCCACTCTCCAGCACACATGAACATCAGACAGAACAGGCCGTGGATTGAGTACTCGGGTACTACCAGCTGTAATCAGAGCACACACACAAGCACACACAAACACAGTTTAAATTAGCTCTGGCCAAAGAGACACTTACATATTGTCATAAGAGCTACTACTTAAAACACAAGGAAAACACTATTCTCACCTATGGTGTGGAGCGGTGACAACTGGAAATACACAATAGTTTCTACCACACAAGAAAATCTACAACAATAGAAGTCTCAAATCACAGGGCAAAATGATGTATGTATCTGTGTTAACACAGAGACACAAAACATGAAAAGAAATGAGAAGGGGATGACAGGGGAAATAGCATAGGCAAGCATAGACCTGTGTATAAGTCTACAAAACCCTACAAAACCCATAGTTCCTCTGTATAGATCGTGTTTATTAGTCATTCCTGCAGCTGTTGGTTTATTCTAGATTGGATGGACAGAGACAGCAGCATGAGAGCTTTAGAGCTGGGGGCTGGGCCAGCTGAAATGGAGAACATGTGAAATGGCTATGATGCGTCATGGCGATGACAGTGGTTACAGAGGCGAGTGGTCAGACTGCTGTGAAATCCCTCTCCTCCTCTTCCTCCTCATCCTCATACATCAGGTGACAAACAGCATTACTCACCCGACGCAGCAGGTTGCAGATTCTTTCAATGTTCAGAATCCTCTCTCTCTGTGAGGGAGATGTATAGATGTATAGTCAGTGGAGACACTTTGTATTTATTTTAAATACTTAGTCTCTCAGCTTATGATTTCAGGTTTTTTTTCAGCTTTTTAAAGCTCTGAGCAAATGTGAATATGAGAAAGTAATAACTACATATTATATAATAGTTTCATTAAAGTGTGTGCTATCTTCTTTTAAGTAATACAACTGCAGTTGTTTATGTGGGTTAAATACAGTTCATTAAGCTTTACAGTTCATTTAAATGCACACACATTTTTGTAGCTCTTTATGTCTGTTCATATTATATTTGGGTTTCCAAATTATAAAACAATAAAACCGTTGGCATAGCATTTAACTAAATTTAAAACAAAATACTATATCTCTTGAATGGATAAAAGTCTGAAATCCATAAATGCACTAAATAAGCAGCAGTAGTAGTAATAGAATATAAGTAGTTAATAGAATTTCTAGACTATACATAAAATACATTGTGCACGGGAGTAAGTGGAAAACAACCCACCAAGTAATGCCCATTTGTGTGTTATATCAATATAGTGATTTAACATTTGATTTGCTCTGCTTTAACTGATCTGTGCTGCACCAATAAACAGCCCAGTTGACAGTCCAGGCTCAATCCCTTGTTATTTGCTCTACACTACAGTGAATCTCTTGTGGACCATAACACCAGGCTCCATTATCGGTGCTAGAAATTAAAGCTCTTCATCTTGTGCTGCATTCACTGACTGACCCCAAACAATAGTGTTAGCTGCAGAATATTGATTCCTTAAATTAAGACATCTAAACTAAGAACTAGGTAATTAACACATGTATGGGTGATTAGACCTCAGTGACTTAACATGGAAGCAGTACTGGAAAAATAAATACATAAAATAAAAAATAAATAACATTTTTACTCATGTAAAAGTATACATGCTAAAAATATACTCAAGTATTACAACATTACATTCAAGTCATCCTGCCAAACTTCTACTTCAAGGTGCACTGTGTAGCTTTTCTGGTGTAGTACCTCGCCTGTTGCTTGGTCCCATGTTCCATAGTATGGCATTAAACATATCTATCTCCACAGAGGCAAGAAAGAGATGCTGCCAGGCCAATTTACAGCTCAGGTCTGTGGGGGAGGTGACCCTGCTCACAGTAAGAATGTATGTTTTAAAATGTTATGAAAATATCTGTAATTGAACAAATGCACTTTCGATAACTTTAATGACATACCGTGGAACATATCAGACAAAGCCATAACATCTCCATGGTGACTGAACCCCCACCAGGAAAATTACACAATGCACCCTTAAATAAAATATGAAGTAGACATTAAAGTCAAACTTGTTAAAGTCAAATTACTTGTTAGCATGAATTAAGTTGTTTGAAAACACAAGTTGCAGATTCTTTAAGATCTGGCCGATCAGAACAGGTCATGTCTGTGTGTCAGTGAAGAAAGGAGCAGAGACATCAGCAAGACACACAACTGCATGGCTATAATTATACAAATACATGTTAAAATATCAACTCAAAAAAGTAAAACATGATCCATAGTAAACCTACTCAACTACAGTAATGTGAGTATTTGTAATTATTTACTTTCCACCTCTGCACAGAAGTTCCCTCGTCACCATAGAGATATGTACCCAGCGTTCGTGCCCCCTTCAGCCTGGTCTACATGCAGTGAGTGAGTGTGTTTATGAATTTATGAACTCCCAAAGCGACCTCAAAGTGGCTGTTGCCCTCAATCTCCAGCCTGCAGCCTCCAGAGTCTGACTTCTTCACACTTTCTGTTTATTTATGGCACCAATTTTCTCTTTGCTCACTGTTTCACGTCTCTAAATGTACAGACTGGGTCCCACTGAATCTATTATGAAGCAGTGGTTTTTATGTCACTCGCTGATCTAAAGCTTTATCCTCTAGCAGCCAGAAAATGAAGAATAGATGGATAGATAGAGAGGCAGACAGACAGATATTGTAGTTCCATTTAATGTATTATAAAGCAATATTTCTTCATACAGTTCAGATGAAAGTTTTTCCCAGGTCTATTTTGTATTAAGTTCTCTCTAAGCTTTGCCTCACACTCTTATTTTGTGTTTCTTTAGATATTATAAGTCTACTGGTTAAAACTTCATAACCTTTTCTTTTAAAGATACTAGTTCATAAATGATCCTACAAAAATCATATTAAGATTGTTATATACTTCAAAGAATGTTTTATATTCAAACACTATTAAAGTCCACCTTTCTTAAAACATGAAATCATTCTCTGTCCCTGTAGCCCTTGTAAGGAAACACTGATATAAAGGCCTATTATCTACCAGCCAAAATTTTAAGAAAAGGTGGGCAGTATTTCTCTGTAATGTGCTGTAGTAATTTTAGAGAAAAACTGTTGTTACTGTGTGTAGCACCACTCCAGGAAGTGACTCACAATCAATCAACTCTAATTCGGATTAATCATCAAATCAATTAGTGAAATGGCAGGCTGCTAAATGGTTGTGTGGACAAACCAAACAACCGTCTGTCATGATATGCGGCGTGACTGTCATACACTGCAATATTAGTGTCCTCAAAGGTGAACTGTGTAACTTTTCTGGTCGAGGGTGTTAAGATGTTATTGCATTACCTAAAATATTCCACAGTATGGCATTAAATTTATCTATCTCCATATAAACATGCATGTGACAGCACCAGACCAAGTGAAAAAGTCTGACTTGTGAAAAGGTGTCCCTGCACACAATAAGAAAGCAAGTTTTTCAAGGTATTTTTGAGAAATGTAAAATATCTGTAACCAGTGTTGGGAAGATTACTTTTAAAATGTATTCCCTTACAGATTACAGATTACATACCCCAAAATGTAGTTTGTAACGTAATCCATTAAATTACTTAAAGTGAGTAACGTAATCTGTTTACTTTGGATTTACTTGATATTCTTATGCTTTTTAAAACTACATGAATGTACCAACCATGTCCTGAAAATTCTCATTCTCTTCAAATTCTCTGTTGAGCCCAAGTCTCCATGAATAAGCAACTGTTTGCTATAGAGAAGCAAAGACCAGGAAATCATAACATAATTGTCTGCTAAAAGAAAATAAAAAACCCATTCTTTACTTAAGCATATAAAAAATATTATTGATAGAAAAATGATTTCTATATGAGATCACTGCTGCCTTAAATTATGTTCACTCTACTGTTAGGTGTCATATTGTTTAGACCTGGTTTAGTACTGATTTAGTCCTGATTTAGTCCTGGTTTTAGGCCTGGTTTTAGTCCTGCATTAGTTCTGCTTTAGTCCTGCTTTTAGACCTGGTTTAGTCCTTCTTTTAGACCTGGTTTAATCCTGGTTTAGTCCTGGTTTTAGACCTGGTTTAGTCCTGGTTTTAGACCTGGTTTAGTCCTGGTTTAGTCTTGGTTTAGTCCTGCTTTTAGTCCTGTTTTAGTCCTGGTTTAGCCCAAAATGTGAAAACCGGAAAATACCGCCATGTAATCCATTTATTTCAATGAAAGTAACTGTAATCCAATTACCACTCACTGAAACAGTAACTGTAACTGAATACAGTTACTCATAATTTGTATTCTGATTACGTAATCCCGGTACATGTAATCCGTTACTCCCCAACACTTGTCTGTAACTCAATAAATGCAAGTGAAAATAAGTGTGGAATATTCCAGGCAATGCAACAACATTTCCATGGAAACAAGCCTCTTCCAGAAAAAATACACAGTGCACCTTTATGATATTTTAGTACACACAATCATTTCAGTTATATTATACCTAAAATACATGCTTTCACTTTCTATGCAGACTCTGTGAAAATGTAAAATAAAGAACATAGACAAAACCTGGATTAAACCAAAAGTAATTTAAAAGCTAATAAACAAATCTGCCCCTTTAACATAAAAAAACCCCAAAAAACAGTACATTTCTGTCTGATGGAGATGCTTTGTGGCATTGCAATTATAAATTTAGTTTGTTGTCATATTATTATTTTGTCAGCCAGTATTGTTATATCAGTACTGCAATATATCATCGCTGTGTGAATAGGCCTGTCACAATAATTTCTATCAACTTATCGTTCACTATATAATAGATGGAATTATCAATTTTTCATGGGTTTCAAGCTGTGGCCACCATTATCCATTGCAATTCAAATAAAACATCTTTTGAATGGGCAAAGCTCCTCACGAAGTCCTTCAAATCAGGACAGAACTGTTTGTCTGAAACACATGAAAAGATACAAACTACGAAAGTGTTTCATTGTGCAGTTTATTTATTGCAGTTTGTGTTTTTATATTATACATTTAGAGAAGTTTTTTTGGGGATAATTCTTGTCATGATTATTTTGTCAGTGGCATACATTTGTTTCAATTGTCAATTCGTCTATATATTCTTCAGTGATATATCGCACTTCAAAAATAGTTATCGTGACAGGCCTATGTGTGGACTCCCCTCTTTTTCACAGTCTCCTCTCACTCCTCACCACTCTTACTTTGCACTTCAGATGCACGATCATAATAATAGAACTAGAACAGCAAACTCTGCTAAAATGTTGAAGGAAAAAATTGCCACTTCCTGAAAGTAATTATGTTTTTTGAATACTGATGTTTTTCCTGCTGCAAAATCACAGAACAGATGTCCACTAACTGCCCTTGTGCTGGCGATAATCTCTCCAAACAATTATCTAAACAAATCCATTCTGTGTTGAAAGCTGAGTTAAATGTGCATTATGTAACTTTGCGGTGCGGGTGTCTGCCAATGGCTTGTTTCCATGGAAATGTTATTGCTTTGCCTGGAATGTTCCACAGTATGACATTAAATTAATAGCATTTTTTCAAGTACAAATGTTTTACTGTTAAAGCAATATCTTGAAAAGCATGCATTGTTATTATAAGCGAGCTAGTGGATATGACCTGTAATTTGCCGTGATGTCTTCACTTGCTTGTCTCCATGATAGATACGATTAATGCCATACTGTGGAACTTTCTAGAGAAACAAGCAGCTGGCAGACCCTACACAATAAAGTTACACAGTGTACCTGCACAGCTGTTGCATTAAATCAGTTGTTCAGTTGGGACTCAGAGTGTGTGTAGTGGAGTGTGTCATGTCTAAACTCACGAGATTTGCTGTGAGACTTCCTATCATTCCGTGTGCCGTTTATGGTTGTACTAAATCTCGTTCACAAATACTGGGTCTTCCCTGTCTCCTGTGGCTCTTAAAAGTAAAGACGTGAACAGGCTTCTTACCGCTCTGGTGGGATTGCTCTGATCAATCGGGTTTTTGAAGTCTGTGCGGAGCTCATCAAATGCAATGATCTGAAACCAATAAAAGGGAGATTACCTCGACAGCCTGGGTTTTTTTGTTTTTTATTGTTCTATTTAGTAACATAATGAAGTGCACATTTTAACGTACAATACAAAGGGGAAATAAAAACAAAAATGAGCAAACTTATTTTATTTGTGGTGTTCAGAAGTGTATTTTCTAGTATTGTTGCACATTTCAATTCAATTCTAAGGAGTAGGAGTTTCAATACCACGAATATAAAATGCTATTTTTAAACTAAACATTTTCACATCACATAAAGTAATATCACTTTATCATTGCTCATTGTAAAACTGTTTAGGAAAAGTCTAATTATGTTCTATTTATTGATTTCTATATTGAAATCACACACTCAACTGAGCATGCCGTTTCACCACTAGTTTTAGCATCAATTAGTATCTGATATTTGATACTGTTGAGAACCTTGGCCAATTCAGATGGTGGCGTATGTTGCTGCTAACAAGAATTTAATGGCTTTAGTCTAAGTAACAGTGACTAGCTTTAGCCCACCTGCTGAGTGCATCATGAGAGCATCTTTAAAGCAGCATGCTTCTGACAGCTCATTTAGAGGCTTCTCGTGCACAGATAAGTGAGCAGCAGAGTCTGATCACAGTAATCGCTCCTGCAGTCCGACATATACAGCCATCACTCATCGGCTTCACGCATCGCTCACTTGTAAACAGATGCAGTTTCCATGGAGACCTGGTGAGCCCCTCAGCGAGCTCCATGGTTACTATAGCAGTGAGGGAGCGCTGTGATTGGCCGAAGGCAGCAGGAACTGGGGTGCTGTACTCGGGTGGGCAGACGGGGTACTGAGGGAAATCTAGAGTTTGATAAGCGTTGAGTGTCATGAGGAGCAGACAGTCTCATCTCTGTGGCACAATGACTCACAGTATGGAGTCCCACCACTTCCATTAGTCCAGTATTCTGCTCCTGTTTGCTGGTACATTATTCAGAGATGTGTTTGAGGAATGTTAAAGGTGAGAGATCGATGCTTTCATGTTTGTAGAGCCTGTGTAATCAGATGCTCGTAGCACAGGGGTCTCTGGTGAGCGCTGTGCAAATTGTGCTCAAAAGGCCGGTGGCAAACGCGTCCAGTCTGTGGCCAGGATTTATTATCACTGTGCTTATCCTCGTCCCTGTGCTCATTACAGTTGTGTTGCCTTAGCCTTGTTTGAGGGACTCTTTATAGCCAAAAAAAAGGGATCCTATTATTAATCACTTTGTTTGTTTTGTGGGGTCCAAAGCATTCAGTCCTAGTTAATTATACTTACAGCTGGGCAATTAATCTAATTTTAATCAAGATCGAGATTCAGTCATGTCTGATTGTCAGTGATATGCTTGGGTTTACAATGATATGAGAAGTCTATAGTAACATCATGTGGTTTAGAGAAGAGTTCAGATTTTGGAGGAAGGAAGTTGATTATTTTTGTATGTTCCTGTTGCTAATGATTAAAAGTCTGTATTGATTAGTTCAAGAATTGAATAGTGAAAGCCATTTGTATTTATTTTAGTGAGACTGAATTACACTGGTTGAATCAATATGAGAAAAAATACTGATACTTTTATTTTTTCATACAACCTAGCCCTTATTATAACTGTACAGTATTAAAAGTTCTATAGTAGAAAGCTGGTGCCGCAACATCTTACATATTTACATATATACAGTATATAGTGGATATATATACATGAAACAGGTGAAAATCTGATTTCTGATTCCTGTTGTGCTTTGACACCTTAGGCAGGTGTCTATTTTCTAAGTGTGCGTAGGAGCAGGTGCCTGTCTGCCTATGTAGGAGTGAAAAAGCGTTTTGAGTTTAAAGGAAGAATGTCAGTTTAATTTTTTCTGCACATCAGAGCTGCTTAAGTCTCTTTTATGAGTTTTGGAAATCTCCTTTAAGACACAATTCTTAGCTTTGGCTTTCAACTTTGTTTTATATTTGTACTTGCCTTATGTATGATCTTGCACTAGCTTTGTATGCTGTTTCATCATTTATTGTCCAGTAGTGTGAAGCATTTTGAGCAGCTTGTGTTTTTGTGAATGCCCTATAGAAATAAAATTGACATTGGCATAGAGGGGGAAGTCTACTCACCTGCCAGATTACGAAGAAGATGAGACCTGCGCACAGTACCAAGGTAAGCATGTAGCAGAAGGCCGCGAAGGTGAACGCCATGGTTGATTCTGCCAGCACCTGTCGTTTGCGCCTGTCTCAAACACCTGCCGGACACCTACAGCTCAACTTCAATTTCTGTCCAAATCGATAAGCCCTCACTGCATGCTCAGTCTTTATGTCCGACTGCGGGAATGACCCCCTTTGCAAAGTGTTTCAGGAAGCACTTAAGAGTTTAAACCAGTTCACGCACCCTGATGCTCCTCTATGAGTCTCAATAGGGCAAAATATGGGTCTTTTACAGCAATTTTTACATGTGCTTTTTCTCAAACCATCTCAAAACTACACTATTTAGTTTAACACACAATACATTCTATTTTGTTGTTGTTAATGTTTCCTCTTATGGCTTGAGAATATGGCTTTCAATTCAACTGTTGCTTCAAGACAATTTAAATGGCATCCCTACAGATTCATTACACACATATTGCTTTGATATTGTTTACATAGACACAGCCAGATCTGAAAACTTCATCAAAACACTACTGGTTTCAAACTACAGATTTCCTTTTTGTTCAATTTCTTCAGTTAAATAGCTTTGTCTGGTCAGATCTGTGCTAGCCACTGAATAGCTCACTCCCACTTTGTCTTTGTCAGATTTAATAACATGGAAAAACGTACCTTTCCACATCTCACCAGCATCTCTTTGCCTTCTCCAAAAATAAAAAGTTGCCTGTTTTCGAATCTCAAAAGAGGAGCATGAGAGAGATCTGAGCCGATGCAACGAGATCTACATGTTGGAAAAAAAAAAAATGAAAATGCGATCTACAGGCTATTCTCCTGATACAGAGTTTCCTGAGTCACATTCCTGTCTCTTCCCCGGTCTCAAGTCTGCTGTAGGAATATTTGTATCACGCTTGATGTTTGACTGTTCTACCAATCGCGCGCCTCCGTCTGCCTTCGTCGCTTGCTCCTCTTCCTCACTGTCTGTCACTCTCTCTCTCCTACATTTCCATAATCCCTGGTTCCCTGGAGACCGATGAGGGGGCAGGGCAACTGTTTTTTGTTGTTTTTTGTATCCACCTCACACCATTTTTCTCATGTTTTGTCCTTGTTAAATTATTTTTGCAAGTTCATTTTGTCGGCTCATGTGCCATTTTCCGAGGCACTATGATTTCTATTCATCTGATAACTAGAAACAAGCTATTTATGTAGGTTACTTTTAAAGCAAGTATAGGACTGCAACGGTTAATCGGTGTAATCATGATTATTACAATCATTATAAATAAATAAATATATAATGTTATTTAAACTTTATACAGACTCTAAGGCATGGAAAAATAGATTTTATCTTAAAGATGGTATTATATGCCATTATTAAGTCCAAATTGCAAATTAGAAAAAACTATCCCTGATTTTCATTAATAACACACTTTATTTCTAAATATTATCTATCTAGGAGTCTACAGGCAACATTAGCCATTATTTAGTTAAAATATGTCAATGTACAATAGAAATTAAGTGTCTGACTAGTCAACTAATTGAAAAAATCACCTACTACATTAATAGTTGCAGCATTATGAGACACAGTAACTCAAATGTCTTCTGTAATCTTTAAGAGCATAGAGCAAGAAAGGTAATTTATCTGTCAAAATGTAATTTTTTTGTTGTTACTTTAGGCATCGCCTTGAGCTCTGAAAACCACTGTATCTGCTATTACAGAACCATGGTCAGGGTCAACTGAGGATCCTATGATTCATGGTTATGGACTTCCTTAACATGATATATGAATAATGGTTTATAGAAGGTTGTATAGAGCAAGGACAAGAAGATCTCCAGTCAAGTTAAGGTGGGCAGTTTGTCTTTACTGGTGTAAGGTAGGGTCATTGTCATATTTTGTACTGGTACTATTTTAGATCTAAGTCGTGCCTGTTCATTGTATATGTTTGTAATACTTTAGACTTGAGTAGTCTACCTCTTAAGTTTTGGCTCAAAATTTAATTACCCCAATATAATGTACCAATGTTTAGACATTATAAATCCATTTACTAGTATCTTGCCAATTATAACTATTATATTTTATATTATTGATATTTATTCTAAGTAATTTAATAATGTAATAATTATTACTAATTACTTCAAATACTGTCCTATTACACCTTTGTATTAAATACCCCCTGGTAGGGTAACACTGTCCCTCCTGACAATGTATATCTGAACATCTGGAGATAACCTCCCGGGTGACAATGGCTCTGGCTGCACACCGCTCCCTGTTAAGGATGGGTCAAATGCAGAGTACAGGTACTTTTTTTTTTTTTTTTAATAAAGTGTGCTTTAAGCTTAATAGAATTTGCACTGACTCACTGATGACAAAAGCCTTTTAACATTCTGGAGTCGTGAGGCGGTCTGGTCATTTGTCACTCACTTTGCCGCTGTCTGCTGTGATCTAAATTTAGTTCAGCCGAAGCATTAAGACTAAAATGCCACAGGTGCACGTGGTCTGAGGCGCACGTGGTGGTTTGGCTCCATCTGCAGACGGTCACAAAGAAACCTCTGGATCACATAATGCTTGACAATCCCTTCATATTACAACTTCATTGGATTGTTCTAGCTCTATAGGTCTATATTATCTATTTATTTATGTATACGTTTTGCTGTAGATACAGATTTGTGTGTTTGTTGTGCCATGGCTTACCTGTAAGCGATATTGCTTTCATTTTCTCTTCTAAAGCACCCCGGTTTAACCTTTCCACTGTTTTCTAGTGCTTTCATGTCTTAATGTCGATATATGATATATATCTACGGTAGACTAAATGAGTCAAGTCTTAAAACGCCTACTCTGCTCGAAAGGCCGGTTGATATATTACCGATTTTAGAGTTCCCTCTAGTGGTTATTTATAGGACCTGTTGTCTACTGTACTGTCAGTCACTAATACGATACAGAAAAAAGTAAATATATTGTTATGAGCTGGTCAGAAATCTTTAAAAAGGTTTAGCCTGGAATAGCCTTGTACACAAAATCTAAATATTTAAATTTACAAATAATTCCTCCAAGAAATAGTGTGTATGTATAGTTTCATCGCATACAACTTTAAAATGTTTTTTTTTTTTTTTTAATAGTCTAAGTAAAAAATAGAAGTATTCATTTGAAGAATAGCAAAATAATCTACTATTTTCGACAGCTAAAATAGTCATTAGTTGTAGCTGTAGTTGTATACTTATAACTAGTATGTATTTTCCTGTGGGCTACAGTTTTCGTTTTGACCACAAGGGGGAAACTTGAATTACACATGAATTAGTGACAGCAACAGATGGCCTCATTAGAGGGATTGATTTACCAATAAGCCTTAAAACATAGACGGTGATTACTCAACTTCAACGCCTAAATAACACAACTGGATAAGAAGAATATTGATGTGAATACAGGCTATATTATAAATGTGCAGTTCTAATTAATACAATTTCATTAAAATGTGGACTCCCCTCAGAACAGTTGGTCACAGGCAGTTGTGTCTGTTCGACCAGCACCTAGGGACAATGGTTTAAGTGATTTTTCCTCCATTACAGAATATCCATGTAGTACCAGAGGAAAACTAGGGGCTATGGAAGTTATAAAACCACTCCACTATTCAAGAAACAAGCCCAGATCAATGTTATGTCCCTGAACTGCTGGCCTTAGGGTCTCTGTAATGAAATGTGTTTTTCTCAAAGCTGTATTGATTTTTTAACTGATAAAATGTAGCTTGGAAGAATCATCCACAGGCAACTTGGCTTCTTCCACTGACCAGATCTGATTAATAATTTTACCAACACTTTAACACATCTTTTTTGGCAGGAAATCAGGAATGAGCTGAGTATTTCTTTAAAGTGAAAAGGTTAGACTACTACTACTACTACTAACTAACTAACTAACTAACCAAAACCAAAACTTGTTAAATTGCACAATAATTATAATTTGACAAATAAAAATAAATTACAACACCTTTATTTTGTTGAATGAAGGTTTAAACAGTCAGAAAAATGCCTACCTTGTGCATAACTTGTCTCATGCATTTTCGATGAAATTTTCTTTGTTTTAAAGAAGTCACTGCTACTTTTTAAGGCTACTTTTATTTTCCTACAAACTGGTACTTAACTCATATAAAACTATGATAAACATTTACCACAAATACCATTCCACCATACCAATACCTAATAATGAGAAAAAACATGAAAACCTTAAGCACTGACACTAGAGAATTATCAAACAAATGTTCCCTCTCAACTCAACACGATCCTCTTTGTTAGAGCATTTTCCAACAAAGCCAGTTGGACTATGTTTTGGCCACACTTTTTGCAATTGTAAATATGAAAAAGCAACTGTAATAATTAGTTTATTCCAAGCAAAAATAGCTCAGCGGGATGGCAACTACAAAGACCATAGATACACAGTCGCAATGAGGTTACCATGGCAACACTACTTCGGTGAGGTTGCTTTCTAGCCCCTAACCAGATGCCAAATGTTTTCTGACCTTTAAGTACACTTAAAATGCATTCACTGAACACAAAGTGTATGCACTAAAGGCAAATATTTCAAGAAATATGTGGGTCAGAAAGTCAAAAAAGCGAGGAGCTATTTTATCTGCTAAATCTTAGGACACAGACAAACAATTCAGTGATGGATTCACTAAGAATGGGAACTTGAAGTGGTCCGACACAGATGTTAAATGATGTATGAGAAATAGGTCAACACACTATTATTTCTTAGCAAGTGTTAGCTTAGGTAATACTCTTAGCACTGATATAACTCTTGAACACAGACATAAAAAGGTGAAGGGCGATTCCAACTGAGTGATCACAGATAGCGCAGTAAGTGGCACTAAAAACAATTAGGGCTACAACTTCAGCAGCCCTAACTCACTCTGGGGAGAGCTGATTGGTCAAAATGTTTAACGGCTATGTATAATGCAAAAGGACATTTTGTTGAACATGAAAAAGGAGTCATGCTGTTTTTGACGCTCAGCCCACAAGAAGCTGCTACACCAGCAATGAAAGAGTAATTTAGTTTAACAAATTTTAATGCAGTCGGACCTGTACAAAGCCTTTTCTAAAAAAAACAAAAAAAACTAAATATCTGTCTATCTGTATCTATCTAACTATAAATGATTAGTGATCACTTTTTCAACTTATAATTTATAACTTCAATGTATAAATGAACAAAAACTAAACAGCCCTAAGAACAAGGTTGCTTATGGTCAATACATGCACAGACTCAGACTTGATTCAATTCAAATGAGCTTGTTCATTTGATAAAAGTTTACATGGACTTTCTCGACCCCTGGATGAGTTTATTACATTCAGATCTGGAACATGTGATGGAGTGACCGGTGAGTCTGTACTTGAGGTGACTGTTCCCTCTATGATGTACTTCAGTCACAGATGCTGTCAGTCAAAGGCACAGAGGTTTAGAACAGCGTCCATCTGCTCTCAGAGTGTCACATTAAACACTTTTAAAATGAACCTGAAACGATGGCTCAAGAGGATCCAGCTCTGTGATCACTGATCCTAAGTGATTTTTTTGTTTTTGTTCTTTAACTCTAATGTTGTAATGTGTGTATTCTTTGTTTGTTATTGAATGCCTGACTATCTGTATAGTGCTGTTTTGTCTTGGGCTAATTCTGGCATGTTTACATTGTATGTTCATTAATATGCATTGTTCTTTTAAATAAATACATCTAAATCTATAAGTGTATGTGTAAAAAGCACAATGCTTGTATGGCCCTTTTCGTTCAGGTCCATGTGGTCGAAATATG